AAACATCAACCATTAAGAGCTGTACAAACAAAAAAAAAAACCAATCTCAAGTCACTTTTTTGTTGAATTAGAGTGAAACACGAAAACCATCCACATTGCACAGAGAGTCTGTTTAATTCATACAAAGATCTTTTCCCTCACCAATGGTGCCTAAATGGATAACATTTAGCCCGCTAATTGTTATCGATACACTATGTCCAACGGTTTTTAAAGTTTCGGATCATGACCGTCTGTTTGATCTCCTCTCAGGCGTCACAGGAGAATCTGAGAACAAACCAGTTGCCCTGTCGAAAACGAAAAGATTTCATTACTGAACCAAGATCCTTAAATCAAGATTTGAACAGAGTTTTCAGTCTACGTGTGAATACAACGATCAGCTCTTTAATCTAAACTCCGAGCATTTCAGAACAACTTCAGCTAGTTTTCAATCCAAAGTAGAATATATACAATACCTTCCTAAGTTCTTGTCTAGTCCATTAACTGATAGATAAGTAGCAGAAAGAAAGTAGTTGAAAAGTTTATGTACCTGTCGTAACACAAGTAGGCATCACCAATTTGTCCAGCAACCTTGTTTCGTACTTTCCTCACACAAATCTGAAACACACAAAGGTTAGGAACTTTAAGACAAGTAGGCAACAAAAAATTACATTACACAGATGAAGAACAAGGGATCAGTACACCTACTTGCACTAGATCAAGAGGTCCGGCGTTTTCATCGCGGTTTCTGTGAATAACNATACCGTTGTCACATTTGTTAATGAAATGTGCACTCCCGCTAATATCGTAAAGGTTTGGTGCACCTCCGTCCCATTGTTGCAACTGTTTTGGATGTGCAACAAACCAGACGTGACAAGAGTGATGTTGGGCAAAGCGTTTAATCTTTGTAAGCATCTGGCTAACATATTCCGTCTCCGTCCTATCAAAACGAATTAAAAGTCCTTCATGTGACAGAACGGAAAGAGGGTAAAAAGCTGATTGAAGGCAAAAAAATATTATGTTACTCACTGGCGTGCAGTACGTTGATGATCAAGCTCATTGTAAGGATCTATAACAAGTCCTCGAATACCATACCGAAGAACAGCAGCTTTNGCACGTTCCAAGACCCATTCAACACTTGGAAGTGAATCCATCTCACATCTGATTAGTCAAGAGAACCCAAAAACAACAAAATATCACCATGTCATGTCCAAGTTGCACAACATTTCGGTCTTTAGGTAGCTGCTCGAATCAGCGGAGAGTGAAGCTCTATAAAAACTGAGGATTTTACCTTATGAGAGAGAACGTATCATTCAACCACTGTTTCCCTTCATCCAACTCCTCAACGCTCATCCGTGGGACACTTCTCCCATAACTGTTTAAAAAAAGGAGAAACATAAGCTTAGGATGATGCATCACACACCACTTTCAAGAAAGAGCAAAGTTGAATAAAGGGTCAGAGATGACACGAGCACCAGTTATAGTGCCTCAATCAATTTATATGGATTTTTTTTTGAAGTAAAGAAACTTACTCTGCATCAAAAAAGGGTTTCTTTACATGTTTCTCCAAAAGTTTCCTGCCATGATCTCGTACCTGCAAGTGGCAAGAATAAGACACAATCAGATAAAACTAGTATTAAGCAGGTTTTTCCCTTCAACGACTGATTCGGAACACATACCTTATTCTCCATTGAGCAGAGCGCAAATTTCCAGCCAACACTATGGTTGAGATTGCATAATAGAGCATCAATCCATTCNCTCTTTCCGGAATTAGGAACCCCTGTCACAACCGTCAACTCCCCTGGCACAACCTGATCAGCAGCAAATTGAAAATACCACATCAGGTGACGAGCCTACAACAGTATTACAAAGAAAAACAGGACTTTAATGCTTTACACTATAGAAGTTGTCCAAAGTGTTCCACCCAGTTGAAACACCATACTCGTGTCCATGAGTCCGATGATAGTAGGCATCAATTTCATCAAAGAAATCTTTAAAGGGGAACAATCCTTGTATAGGGTATGGCTCAGCAGTTTGNATAGCTTCAGTAACTGCATGAGGTCCCAGAGATATAAGCACCTAAGAAAAACATCCAAGTAAGGAATTATTGTGGTCGTTTTAAACCAACATAACAACAAAAGCAATTGAATAACATTTACGTGTAAACTAATCTGACCTCGTTTGCATCTTTGAAATGCTCATCCTCGCTTTTCTTTGGCCACTTGACACGCCAACACCTTTCTTTGCCCAGACGCCGTGCCANTTCTTCAGCCAGAGCTTGACCAGGTCCATCTCCATCAGTAGCAATAATAATCCGAGTTGCCTATAGATAAAAAGACCCTTTTAAACCTAGAATCGTGAAATTCAAATAATTACAGTATCAAACCAAATAATAAATTACCACACCTTCTTTAGGTAGTCATTGCAATTCCACATAAACTTATACTTCGTGTCCTAGCTTTACAGAAAATTAAAGTGCTTAAGGATTTAAATAAGAGAGAATGGATAATAGAGATGAAGAATAATTAAAACCTAGAAAACCAGGCAAACCTGGGATTCAGGTGGGGNTTCCTTTGAAGAAACCGACGCAGGAGCACCATCAGGAACAGACACACAATTTGGAAAACCAGCCTCTTCCATTGCAAGTTTGTCTATTTCCCCTTCAACCTAAAGTTAATTTTCCCAAAAGAATTAATATACAGTTCTTGACAGTTTAGCCGCCGACCATGTGATCATTCAATGTCATCAAGTAAATGCAGACGTACTATAATGATTTCTGATGCTTTTTCAATGTCATCAAGCCCGTAAAAGATCCTCCGTGTATTCCTTTCCTGAAGGAAACACAATGAGAAAACATGTAAGAAATGGTCATAATAGAAACCTCGAGAGAGTTGTTCACATCTGATATAAGAAAGGGAAGTATGGCATGGACCTGAAAGAACTTCTTAGTTAGATACCGATACTTGCAACTCACAAGCTCCCCTCTTTGCCAATATGTAAACGCAATTACAATCTGCCACATTAAAATGAAGGAAGAAATTAGAGGTAAGAAAAAGTAAACAACAACAGATTGGTCTGGACCAGAAGCAAGCGTGTCCCTTTAGAAAATAATGTAACTAAATAAAACACAATTTCTAAATTGTTATCAAGATGGATCAGTGAGTGCCAAGTGACATCTCCTTATGGTTTTGACAACAGAAATAAAGCTTGAAAAATAAGCGAATCAGAAGAATACTCGTAAGGTACCTCATCACCTATTCTTTTCTGCATAACCCGATTTCTCTCAAGTGTTTTTCCCGAAATCATTCTTGCAGCGAAATAATCCTGAATCTGAACCATAACCAAGATAAGATTTATCAAACTCATATAACTACAAAGAAATGAAGTATCAAATTCACATAATTCAGTCATTTTCTCAAGAAAACAGTAAACACAGAAGGAAGAATAATAAGTATATCAAAAGAAAAATATAAAAGGAGACAACAACCTCATCACAGAGAGGTTCTAGCGCTAAACTCTCCACTGAAACTTTTCTTTCAACCTTCTCTACTGGATCTGCAGATGTGAACTTACTATCCACCTGCAAAGAGGAATTAGGATAAGTTTAAAACACAATCAAAATTGTATTTTATGAAACGCTGGTCATACTCATGTCTCGCAACTCACCCGTACTCTACCTTTAAACCCACATTTCCCCCGAAAGCAATTCCATGTAGCTGACGAACTATGAAATTTAGAAAAATGGTTAGTTAACAGTCTCATGAACAACAAACTCAAAACCAAAACTTATTTCATGAACTATGAAGATAGCATACCCATCAGTGGCAATTAAAAGAGACAAGCTTTTTTCACCGGAATTACCTCCTTCACACTGATGTACACATAAGAACAGTGGCAAAACATAAATTAGCTTCTTTTCCAGTTACTTAAACATGATGCCAACATTCACATAGTATTCAAGCCTTGCATATCATTGAGGTATGTGAAGAAGACAGAAAGAGAAAAGCTATACCGTTGGACATATCAAGCCACTTTTTTGTCCCGTGGGACAATTTTGAGCACCAATTCCATATTCTGCTAATTTACGCTTCAAGGTAGCTAATTTATATCCAACAGCTCTCTTGTCTGCTTCTTCTTCAGGATCAACTACAAAAGCAAAAACAAATGTTTGAATTCATCAGACAGGAGGGCTTGTTTGCATACACATGGAAACAATAGAGCTCGGTAACAAGAAGCAAGAAAGCATCTAAAACTACAGAAAGGGCTAGCAACAGGAACAGAATCAGAATCCTCAATGTTCATAATTTTCAAACATACACAGAAATTGGAACAGAGAGCTCAAGCATTACCTGGATTTGGGACTCTGGAGATGGAAGTGTAGGAAGATAACCCATTGGTCTTCTGGTGAAAAGGGCTGTTTTTGGACACGGGTCTCGAGGCTGAAACCGGTCGGAATCTTCTAGAAACAGAAGATAATTGCCTTTGCTTACCAGGAGTATAAGACGGAGAAGAAGAAGGGTATGTAGCGAAAGAAGGAGCAAGACAAAATTCGAGGAATTGCTTCGAACCCATGAGTGCCGACATCGAAGAAGAAAGTTTCCGCAAATGGGTATTTGGTAAACGAAGCAAAAAACGCATCTCGAAGTGTGAAAAAACTCTTCAACTATGGCTACTATTATCCTTCATAGTGATTCTTAAGGGTTTTAGGGGTTTTCTTCTTTCTCTCTGTTTCTGTGTCACTTTAATGGAGGAAGGAGGAAGAAACACGGGAGATTTTTGATTTTTGCCTTCTCTGAGCTAAATGGGCTTTTTAATGAGGCCCGTTAAAAGATATTTTGGGCCTATTGCATTTATTGTAGCCCATTAGAAACTTGCCAAATGTTGTTTAGTGGGTTAGAAAAAAACTTGGAGACAAAGTCAAATAGGGGTGACACGTGGAAGAAGAAACCGCGTGTTTTATTTGGGCCTGGCCCATTTGATTCCATTAGTGGGTTAGGAAACTTGGCGGCAAAGTCAAAGAAGGTTAGCACGTGGAACCACCGAGCGAACTTTACCCGCTAAAACCGAGGTCTTTTACCGAGTCAAGGAGTTAAATAAAAAGAAATAAAAATCACAAAAACGGTATGAAGCAATAAAAGAATTCTAAAATTAATACTGTAAATTTGATTGTTTTGCTAATTTAAATTGATTTTATATAATTGTACAATGTAAATAATATTGACACTAAAATTTATATACAGAATGATTTTCTTGTTTCATCAATAAATCAAATTTAATTAACTCAAACAGGACTTAGAAATTTCATCTTATATGTTTTTAGCAAATTCATACTATAGTCTACAGTAAATCAATTTAATACGGTTGGTGAACAAAAATTTTAGGCATTCTCAAAAATACTACAATTGTTAGGAAAATGGTTTGGAAATTTTAGTATTGTTTTTTTTTTAACACCGA